CTGGATAATAGTGCTGCAGGGGAGTCACCTCTGAGATGTCTCTTCTGCCACCCTTGAACGGCACTCGATGGTGCCGGCATCTGCTCCCATCAGGGTGTTCCTCATCGCAGGGGAACAGTGAGACTCTCTCAGCTCCCTTACAGCCCATCTCTTGGTACTCCAGTGGTATCACAACTCTGAATGTGCGTGCTGCTGAACGACACCAGGCCTACTGTTCCTCTTAACTAATGTTAAACCTTTAGCAACGTAGGGTCCCATGTGAACTCCAACATAAAATGAGTTAGAGAAAGTTCTCTTGTCCTCAGGACAAGTCGTATGGTGTAACTTGTATCTGGAGAGCTAAATTCTCTAATTCCCCCAAAGAGTCTGGCTCTTCCATACTGTCTGCTGGGACCAGTTTGTGCATGGTGCCTGGGTCTTGGAGGCAACAGTGCTACTTGGCACAACCCAAAAATCTCCTGGGAAAAATCCTCATGGTTTATCAGTTTTGGATGATCACATGCCGGTGCCTGAGTTGGTGCCCTCACCCTGCTCAGTATAGTACAACGAGGGGAGCCACAAGGTCCCAGAAGACGAGGTCCCATCACCAGCTTGTGCTATAGGTTGCACCATGGGACGACGGTCCTGGGACAGAGCTTGCACCTTGGTCATTCTGTTGACCTGTGGCGTGGGCGCAGGGGCCTGACGAGGGGAGACTGGGAGGAACAGAGAGCTCTGCCTGTCCCCACAGCTCCTCGGAAATTGCCACATCCAAAAGTGCAACGTTTAGTGGCGCTAGTGTCATTTTTGTGGATGATCTGCTGTTGGGAAAAAATCCAGCAGCATCACCCATTGTTACCGTGACAGTATTGTTCACTTTGAGTTTTACAGCTCCAGGTGTATATCTTCTTCCCATGTACCCTTCTTCTGGCATGGACGCACAAAGTGAATAACAAGTGCTGGCTTTCACTTTCTCCTCCTCTAAATTGTGCTGGCAGCTCTTACCTGAATAAGGCAGCTGATACTCTCTGACATCAGGTAGTCACAGAGAATTAATTGCCAGTGATCTCTAGGATCAGCATCCCAATGCTCTTGAGACATAGTCAACTGCAGTTAAGTAGCCCGTAACACCCTCTCAGAAGAGATACTAAAGAGATGTAACCCAGCTTCCACAGTGGTAGATATATAAAGGGATGTGTGAAATACTCCAACAGCGTCCTCACAATTAACGTCCTTTCTTTGGCTTTCTTGTTGCAATTTAGGGACGTGGCATTTTTGCCAGTGGAAGTCCTTTTGATCCTGTCACTCTTCCAAGCGGTAAAACTCTCTATCCTGGACAGGGTAACAATTCCTACGTCTTCCCAGGAGTTGCCCTTGGCGTTATTTCATGTGGACTGAAACATATTGGCGAGGATGTGTTCCTCACAACTGCTGAGGTATTGTATTAAAAAGTATTTAAATTCCTTAATTTAGTAACTTGGTAATAATGAACAACTAAACAGAAATAGTTAAATATTATCTTTTAAATTGGAAAGACGGTGCTTTCTGTGCAAGATCTTTATTTGGTATGTTCTTTTCTATAATTTCTATTTGAACAAGTTATTTTTAAAATGTTAATACTTGATCCAAAGGTCGTCTGACATAAACTTCATCTTCTGTTGGCAAGGGAAAAAGAGGAAGACTTCAGTATTGTATTACCACAGGTGAATGCACATATGTACAGTTTGCGTAGTCATGCACATAGTTTTGATTTTAGATTGAAAGGAACTGTGTTTTGATGTTGGTAGCTTCGGAGAGACTTTTTTGGGTGTTTTGCTTGCAAAAATTACTTGAATTTCTTCTAGCTTTTTAGCTTTCTGCTGGTTTTGAGTAGAGCTGTTGGCATCATTTTTTATGGACCTCCCTTGTCAAAAGCTGGTGAAAGTGCTCTATTGCCTTGTGTTTCCTTGCACGAGTTTGACACAATTGTCATGTTATTCTTCTCATTTTCTTTCTTATCCTTTTCTGCATTGATTGTTTTCTTTCTTCAGGCAATTTTTTATCTTCTTTGTTCTGACATTATCCAACATCTGATCTGCTTTATCTCCACTCAGAGGGCAAGAGATGAACAGAGAACAAACACTTTTGGTTCTAGGAGTCATTCACCACCTACTTCCAATGATTGTTCAAAATCTGACATCTACGGTCTTACAGTAGGACATCATAAATGCACAGGATTGTGTCTTCAACACGTATGGGAGAAGAATCTGGCCTTTATTATTTTAGAATCCCTAATTCAAACAAAAATAAATTACCAGCGTTGGTTGAAATCAAATGGTTAACACATTTTTTTATTATTATTTTTTTTTTTATGAAACAGTATGTCGATCTTTCTGTAGCTGCTTCTCACTTAAGAAAATTGTAACTTTCTGTGCTTTTCTGGGTCCAGTATCTTTGCTCCTCATCCACTGTAGCATCATAGCACCCTTGCCACTCCTTCCTCTGACCTTTTGCATCTCACCTCCTTCCTGCTCTGTCCTGAAGTTCCTGTCTCCTCCGTTGCCTCTGTTGTTTCTGCTCTTGGCTGGCATGAAGAGCAACATAATGAGCCTCACGGGACTCAGCTCCCTTCTGTTGAGTGATGTGATATCCAGTGATGCTCAAGCTGCTGGCTACTCTGCTCCTAGGAATGTGCTTCCAGGCTCATCCTGCTCAGAGAGAGCCCAGGCTCAGTACGACAGTGATTAGGGAGCCCAAAGCAGTGCCTGATGGTCTGACCATGTCCATGCAAAGTCATTAAAAGCCTGATGTTTTTTGTTTTTTTTTTTTTAAAGGGTGTGGCAATAAGGAAGAAGGCTAGCCTCAGTTTACCAAGTTAACTCTCATTAACTAGATGCACTTCAGTGATAATTTCTACCCAGTGCAGTTCATATAAAATACGATCCACAGAACTTTGTGAATAAGTGCAGCATATTAATCTTCAAAGAAGCTGTGTAAGCACGCTTGGAAATACATTGGGAGGGTAGGTAGCACACAGAGGAAGCCTCAAAGCAATGCAATTAGCAACTATTATGGAACGGTTAAAAAAAAAAAAAAAAAAGAGAAGGAAAAAAGGTTGCCCCAATTAGCAGAAGTGAGAATTCCTGGCTCAACGCTTGTAGCTTCTCTAAGGGATATTGCGTTCCAGAATTCTTGCTCCTTGTGTCCTCTTCATGGATTAAAGGGAACGAAATGGGCCTTTACTATCACTTGGAGGCAACTGATAAGCACCGTGATCCTATGACCAGCCGTAGGAGACATGAAGCTTTTTTAAAGGGTGAGCGCTTGCATGCACCCTTGCTGGGTTTCTGAAGGGTTTTTTTAAGGTGCTTACCATGGCATCTTTAAAAAAGTTTGCCAGCAGCTTGCCCTCTGTAAGAAAGATATTCACAATTTCCATCTTTAAAATTAGTAAAAAGCCCAGACTGTCTCCACTGACTTTAACCGTCTTTGGAAGGCAAAGATCCATCTCATAAGTCTTTGGATAATTATATCCTCCTTTTAGATCTTCCCTGTAATTTCAGTTGGATACGGTGATCCTTGCTTGCCGGTCTAAACTGCTGTGTTAAACAGTCATCTTATTTCATTCTAGAAGTTGCTGCTTCTTGGTTTGGGTGAAATGGTTCCCGTATATAAACTGCTGATGGATGAAAGGCGACACAGATGTGGATTGAACAACGTTTCAAGTGGCTGTTGTCAGAAAGAAAACTGTCCTGAACAAAGAAACTTAACCAAACAAAGAAACATTAACAGCCAGGGAAGTAAAATAGTATCAGAAACTGCGAGGAAGCTTTTAAATTCTCTCTTGAGGTGGAGGTTCTCTGCTGACTCTTCTCTTTTGGTAAAGGTTTTGCTGCGTAATTGCCATCCTCTAGTAAAATCTCTAGGAAAGTTTGATATGTAAAAAGTTTTTTTTTTTCTTGCAAAGAAAGTCTCTACTGGCAGCAAGGTCAATGGATAGCTACTCGCCTTGTGGCTGGAGCTAAGAGCAGTCACATCTCATCACCCCTCCTGTGTGAGAGGCAGCGTGTGACTGGGGCTTGGGTGAGCTACAGTCAGTTACTGAGCAAGGTGACAACGGGTGGATTTCAGAGGAGTCTTTGCCAGAAGAGGTGTCAGGCACACAGCCCCTTCGCTGAAATTGCAGTACAAAGCAAAGGCAAAAGTGCTTCTTGGTTTGTTTTCTTGGCTTTTTTAATGGGAGAGTAGAATCGAAATGGTTTCACGTGGGTTTTAGAAGAGTGGTTAGTATTCTCCACTGGAAATGGAAGCATGAAGGTGCTGCAAAATTTGAAGCACCAAACCCATGCGTTTTAGGGAGAGGAACCTTCTCAGATTGTAGCGGTAGCTTCCCTGAAAAAAAAACAGTATAAAAAATAGGCAGCCCAGGCTGCATGCCTGCACCTCCTGTCTTCCTACTTTGCTACCTCTCCAATGAAATCTGATAAAAGTCACAAATAGCTTGTTGTAACTACAATGAATTCTACTTTCAGTCTTCTTTTCTTCCTGCCAAATAAAATAAAATGTACCTTTTATTTTATACAATAAATCTAAGGTATTGTAAGCTGTAATACCTCTTAATTGCAGGCAATTGCTCTGTGATGACAAGAAACATTACCTATTCTTCTAAGTCCTACCAAACACAACAAAAAGGACAGGGAATTATGAACTAATGAAATATTCTTGGCATGTGTGACCTACAGTTAAGTTACGCCAGAAATAATCCTGTTAAATCCTTTCATTATAGAGAATACGTCCTACAAAAGTCAAGATGCCCTCACTTGCTTTATGCCGTTTGTCCTATCTTGGCTGCCTTTCATTGAGGTTCTGCAATAAGGCTTAGATAATTTTGCTATTAAAAAGTTGAATTAATTTAAATTTAAAACATGAAAGTAGCCATACTGGGTTGGACCTAAGATCCAAAAAGCTCAGTATCTTCCTGTGAAAGTAATCACTAGCATAAGCTGAGGAAAAGAGGATAAATAAGGGGAAAATACAGAGTGATCCTTCTGCTGAAATGGCTTCTCAGCCTCTGGCAGCCTGTATGGTATGGCCTTCCTGCACTGGAATTTCTATCTCTGTATGGATTTCTCTTTCATAAATAAGCCTAATGGCTTTTTAAACATGTTTATACATTTGAAATCTTTTGACAGTTAGTGTCCCAATTTAATTATGAGTTCTGTGAAAAAAGAAAACTCTTCTGATTTCCTGCTGTCTGATGATTTGGGTTCCCTATAGTGCCATGAGAAATGTTCACCTTCAGTTGTCTTTTGTATTTTCTTTCAGTCTTATCTTTTTTTCTCCCAAATCTATTTTATTATTTTTTGTCTCCTTGTGCCAAAGATAACCTTTTGATCATCCTTGTTATTCTTTATGCCCCTCATGATTCTATCCCATTCTTGTTTGAAGTAGGTGGAGCGAAAATGCACACTGTTCGGTGTACATTGCCATGGTACATTGCGGATTTATACATCAGTATAATTACATTTTCTGTGTCACCTCCTATTTTCGTAACAATTCCAAATGTTGATTCATCATTTTTTCCCCTGCCACTGAACTGATGTTCTCAAGGAGCGTTTTTCAGCGATCACATGAAGAATGTGTCATTATCTTTGCAAATGCTTGTATCTGTGTTTTTGCATAGTTTTTAATGCTGTTACAGGAGTATGTCAGAAGGAATAGCATGGCATCTCTGTAGTTAAGCTTGCTGCTTCTCCCACATCGAGCACTGCCCCAATGTTTTGTGGCTTGCTTTCTGTCACACCCATCACAAACAGAAGTACTCTACTCTTGAACCCTTTTTTTTAGTGATGCATTACACTAACAGCAACTTGCTGTTGATTTCTTCAGGTTTCATCCTTCCTGCAGAGCCCTATTAAACTGTCAACAGCAGAAATCTCATGTTGTAAACGCCTCTTTACACGTTCAGATGCACATCTTGTTTTAGCAAAGGGCTGTGTATCATTTTTAAATTAATAACCTAGTTGCTGTTATGGAAGGAAAGCAAAAACCAGATTTTATGTTGTCTTAGCTCCCCCTACTGGGTTTTCATCTCTGCTGTATTTCTCAATATCAGATTAGAATGTAAACAAATAATTTTCCTTCACTCATTATACTCAACAAGAGCATAATCTCTTGTTAGCATTTCCACTCCGAATGGAAAAACTTTTTATACCTACCAGCATGCTGGGTAGATTGCAGAAGAGAATATTGTTTCTCTTTGAACCTGGAGTTGCGATAGTGATTGCTCCAAAGTACCTACTTCTGCCAGAAAGGATGAACTGATGATAGCCAGGCATCTCTTCTGACACAGTCCTAGTTGTTTGCAAGCGACATACACAGGGTCCTATTTCCCACATGCAACAAGAACTGTAGGAAGCGATTTGTGCTCTATTTCAAGTAGGTTCGCTCAAAAGTGCCCTTCTTGCTTTCTCTTTGGGCCATGTTATCAGTTTCATTCCACAGTGTTTCCTGGACTTTCCTGGTGTTTTCAGAAGCTCTTGATGGGTCATACGTGGCTCCACCAGACACTATCCAGACCAGAGTTCTCCTTCCATCCACACAGAACCCCTACAGCTCACATCACGCAGTAGTATCCGTGCAGTCCTGGATCAGTCAGTGATTGGGTTCTAACCTTTTGTTATCTAAGCTGTAGTTGCACCAAAAATGTATCGTTTCTCCTGATGGGAACAGTAAGGGTGCCTCTATATTACTCTTCTATTTTGCATCAGAATGGTCTTCTGGAGCACATCTCCCTGATGTCCCTACATACTCCACCTTGGTCCACAGGGTGGCATGGTCTTGGGAGGAGAGGGGGACTGGCTTCCTTTTGGATGAAATGAAAGAGAAAGATACACTCCAGGAGGAAGCCTAATGTACGAAATCTCAATGGAACCTGCTTATAAACTGGAACAGATTTGAGAAGTATGAGCTTCCACTGTACACAGAACCTCCTTTCCTTGTGACTGTTACATGTTCTCAGCTGTTCAAAGGGCAAGTGACATCCCCTCCCCAGAGCCATTTCCTTTTGGTCCCAAAGCAAGAAAGAGGAATTTGAAATTTGGATTCTGCTGATGCAACTCTCCTAATGTTTTTTAATAATTTGTTTTGAGAATTATAGTAGAGAATGTTAGTGAAGGTAGCTATTAAAAACTGCATAAAGTGAGACCATTTTTAATATACAAATTTTGTGCCTAGTTTGCTTAGAAGATGTACAGATTTGATTGTAACTAGCAGCTCCCTAGAAGGTACAAAGGTGGGCAGTTAAAGAAACGAAACCTTCAAGTCCACTGAAGAGAGTACAAAGTAGAAGACAGATTAGCGAACTGGCATCAGTTGATTCTCAGGCTCAGCAAATCCCAATCTGCATCGCCTTGAAAGGCTGTTTTCTATTTCAGATGCCTGAATGACAAACAAATTCTAGCTACTGATAGGAGAAATGCCATTAGACCCAAAGGCAGTCCAAGGACCCTTTGCTTCTTAAAAGGTATCTGTTGCAGGAATAGAGGAAGTTCATGCGGTGAGCCCATACACAGAGAGTGCTAGCAGTGTCTTTCCTCACTCTGCAGAGAATGTCCTCACACCTCATGGCAATAGAAGGTTTTTCATATGGCCAATGAGTAAATGATATTTAAGGTCACTTCCATTCTAAACAGTAAAAACAACTTCTCCAGCTTGCTATGCTTTCCCGATCTATTCATTGCTGGAGATGACAACAAAACATTTCCAGTCTTGCTAGGAAGACCAAGCAAGAATATTCAGGCCATACAGGACATGCTCCTTTCAGTCATGCATCAGAACTTCTGTGTCGTTCCTTGTTTCCCCTCGTTGGTTTGGTGAAAAGTCGAGCAAAGAGGATCATAGAATGGTTTATGTTGGAAGGGACCTTAAAGATGATCTAGTCCCAACCCCGCTGCCATGGGCAGGGATACCTTCCCCTAGATCAGGTTGCTCAAAGCTTCGTCCAGCCTGGCCTTGAACACCTCCAGGGATGGAGCAGACACAGCTCCTCTGGGCAACCTGTTCCAGTGCCTCACCACAGTCATAGTGAAGAATTTATTCCTTCTATCTAATCAAAATAATTTCTTTAGTTACTTGGTATGGTTGAGCTGACAGACCCACTGCAGCCTTCAAGTGGAGCGGACAGACTTTTTCAAGCAGCGCTGTTTTTTCTGTCCCAGCAAGCCAAAATTTAGCATTAGACCTTCTATTTCTAAATCTGACTGCAGTGACCAGCAGGGCTTTAAAAGACTCTGGATAATCTTACTTTTGTTTTAATTTGTTCTGTGATTGACATACTTACTTTTGCGATCTCATACAGCCTAGATGTTCAAGCTGGACACACAACAAGTCTGCTCAGACGCCAATAATTTTATTCAAAGCATTTTGCACTTGTAGGTCTCAGCCCTGTTCTCAGCACAGGATGACTTAAGAACTCTCAGAATAACAGGTGCTTCTCTAATTTTGGAAGTCTTTGACCCAACTACAATTGATGGCTGGAATTTATATCTCACTATTTGCTAGTTTATGTGTGTCATGGCCTTATTCAAGACTTGAACCAAGTGAGAAAAAGGCGTTAACTCCCTAAATTTTCGTGAACTATTTGCTAGTTTATGTGTCATGGCCTTATTCAAGACTTGAACCGAGTGAGAAAAAGGCGTTAACTCCCTAAATTTTTAGCTCTTGTAGAGCTACTCGGAATGATAAGGCTGGTGGTAAAAAACACTGCTTAGGTGGATTAAGCAATATCTGCGTGATTTGCCAAAGAGGAACCATTTCTTTGTTTGTTTAAGACTAAATCACTGTCTAATAATGCCATAGCTGTGTCTGCATTTGAAGTTAAACACACCTGCTTTATTTCTAGGTGATTGCTCAGCAAGTTTCAGAGGAGAATTTACAGGAAGGTCGTCTGTACCCTCCGTTAGTCACTATTCAGGAGGTGTCGCTGAAAATAGCTTTGAGGGTAAGTCATTTCAGTCTTTTGTGGCTTCTTTTCTTCCCACTCTGCTTCTCTCTACATAATTGAGCATTTGATTTGATCAACCAGCACACCTTCATGCAAGCTGAAGTTTGTTTACGTCGGTCAATCTTGGACAAGTAGCATTTTCAAAATTAAATTTGAATTCAGAAATGTAAATGTTATGCAAATACAAGAAGGAAAGACATGGAACTATAGCAAGTGTCTGTAGAGCATGAACTGTGCTGTCCACCGGTTAGGAGCAGCTCCCCAGGCTTGCAGTCACACGAGCTGCACAGCTGAAGGCTTTTGGCCCTTCATGACTATCAGTTGCCTGTCAAGATGTCACCCTGTGCCCAGGCACTGTTCCCTTTTGTTCTCATCCTTCCTCTGGCCCACCAAAATAACTACCTACAGGGGGTGCTTTTTGTTTATGGCTCCAGTTTGGGTCAGGGCTTGTACAGTCGGTTGGTTTCTACTAGCAAATACAGAGCTGATGCAGATGGGTTTTCAGTAACTGGCCTAAACCCACAGTTTCTCATGAAATTTGCCTGCCCTGGAGAGAAAAAGAGGAAGCTTTCAAATAATGTATTTATGCCAGTTCCTCTTTCATTCTGCTTTTTAGGGGTTTTTTTCCGCAACATTTTTAGGAAGTTATTTTGCTGGTCTTCTGTGACCTTGTTTGCTCCAATTACTGTTTTCCCTCTTTGTCACCTTATTGTGAACAATTCCACTTATTGTATATTCTTTTGAAAGAATAACAAGGAGCCCTCATGCATGAAACAGTTCCTCTAGCTTCACTCATTCTGTATATTTTTTTAAAAAAAAACCCCATCCTTCTCATAGCTCACGTCTTCTTAATCAAGTAACAACTCTGTTCTGTAGATGTCAAAATGGATTCCTCGGGTGAACTCAAACTGCCTGTGTGTTTGACAGAAACACAGCGACAGAAATTCCTCCTCTACTTGTGTGTGTTATATAAAATACAAACGATTCTATCTGCCTGATCTCTGCTGAAAATTTATTCCTGCAAATACCTACTCTGGCTCAAACAGCCTAAGAGATTTAGCAATGGCCTCTGCCTTTTCCAGGGGAGGAACACTCTTAAAATGTTTTAGAATACCGCACACGGGGTATAAATTCAGACCTTGTTCAACTGTGATAATTGTGCGCACAGACCTGAAGATGAACTCTTACCTAAACAAAGTGCATCTCAGTCAAGTCAGGTTGGGCTTCAGATTAATCCTAGAAAGGAAGTCTAAATACGGTGACTTGGGGTCTCAGCTTCTCACCAATGTTCTCAGATGTTTATGATTTAAAGGGAGAGCTACGGAGAGCAGGAAGGAGACCATCTTCCTTTCATTCAGTGTAGGAGCGTTTGTCTGTTTGCCAAATACAGTTTGAAGCAGACCTTTCCAAAGAGTGCTGCTGCGTAAAACCAGTCTGTCAAACTTCTTCTGCTTCATTGATGAATGTCCAGTCAGAAGATACACATTTCTCAAGCAGGTGTTCTTCCGACCTGAGAGGCTTCTTTGATGTGTCGAGTGGGCTCCGACCCCTTCTGAACTTGTTTTTTGTTGCAGTTATTATTGTGATGCATAATTGATTCACTTAGGTGTGGTCTGGGTGAGGAACAAGCAAGCAAACATTCGTATTTCCCCCAACCATCTCTAGAATTAAACCTATGCAATGTGTAGGACTCATTTTTTACCATGAGTTTACCTTTAAGAAACATATTATCAAACTATGGGAAATAATAAACTTCTCTGATATGCATGGAGGCTTTGAACAAACTACACTTTTCTTGCAGTGCTTTGGAGAAGAGGGTATAAACCAGGGTAACCTGATAATGGAAAAGCAGAAATTGCATCTCACTTCTCGGGGGTTGTGGAATATTTTATCCACCGCTGCACAATAAATGCTAAGATATTCCTGGACGAGGAGGGGTACTGTATTTGTAGCAGCAGAGACGCATAATCCTGTTCCAAAGTAGCGCGAGTCAAACTCGCTTCTGTTCCTAATCTTACTCGCTGTATGCTAGCCCAGATCCAGTATGGATATAGGTGACCGTCAGGACTGGAGAAGATGAAGTCTTACCTTGATTTTGAATTAATTCCTACTTTTAAAACCTGTTATATGTGCTCAAATCGTTTGTCAGCACTAATTAGGATTTCAACGCCTCTTTCTAGATCGCACAAGAGGCCTACAGGAACAACACTGCCTCCACCTATCCTCAGCCCAAGGACCTAGAAGCCTTCATCCGCGCTCAGGTTTACAGCACCGACTATAACAGGTTTGTGGCTGACTCCTACACCTGGCCTGAAGAAGCCATGAAAGGGAAACTAAATATTTAATGAAGAATGAACAAACAGGCAGCAATTAAAAAGCATTAAAATATTCAGAACGTTTCTGCCTAGGAAGCCTACAAATAGCTAATTTTGTAAGACGCAGAAAACTTTTTCTAAATTGTAATTATTTGGTTAGAAACTCAGATCAGGAAATCATACGAATTATACATCAGAAAATAAAAATTAATCGGAGAAATATATTTGTGGTGTTCGGTTATTTTAACGGTTATTTTAATTGAGATATCCTACACTTCGGTTTGACGGATCGTTTTGTTATCAAAATGGGTGCTTATATCTTGAGAGTTTTATCACAAATGTCAGTGAGAACTTAAGCAGACCGTGGAAAATTAAGAAAGACCGTGGTACCGTGGAAAATAAAGAAATGCATACAGTGACTGTTTAAGCCATTACAGGTCACAATGTAACATGCATAAATTGTCAAGCCATTATTTAAAAAAAAAAAAACCAAACAAAACTTTAAACAACAGTAAGGTTAGAATATTTCTCTCCAAATAAAAGCCTTTTTGGGTACTCCTGTGTGAAGTAATGAAAACTTTCTAACAAGAACTGAACCTGCAGAACCTTTTGTTCACATCTAATTAGAATAATTTAACACTACTTAGCTAAGCTAAAGTCCTTTAATTGATCAAAGATTTCACACCCCCTCAAAAATAACTGCTGTTCTGGTACACTGCAATTGTTTGGCCTGCAGTTTATGGAAATGCTCCGTGTTCTTGACAAAATGGAAGAATCAAAATGTTACAAATCCGCTGCTTTTTGACTGAGTATTTTCTTACAAACATCAGTCATCTGGCTAAAGGCAGGTTTTTCGGGTTTTAAACCTAATGAATTCCTGTAGTATTTGAGGCCAATGTATTTATTTTTAAACACACATCATAAGTGATAAAGTATTATTCTTCATAACAAGCTCCCGAGTCACCCAGCTGAGGTCTACTAAACGAATAACTATTATGGGGAAGGGAGACCATCATTATGGGGGGAGCAAACACATTTAATTAATTCTTTGATACTTACCCATTATTTCTCTCACTGACTACTATTTGAATGATCTAGTTAGATCAGTTTCTTCAGTATGGTGTTTAAAATCGTCTCCACAGCTTCATTGATAATTCAGCGTGCTGAGTATGTTTATCAGAATAAAGCTTTAGACAGCTCTAGCTCCAAATTCTGTGACCGTCCTCCTGCACAGACTTTCTGACCTTTGCCAGTGCTGCCTTTCCCGTTTCCTTCTGGTTGAAATCTCATGGATAAGGCCTATTTCGAAACCAGTTTGTTTTGCTACTTTAAAGGAAAAAGTTTCTCATTTGGCAACTTCCCAACAGGAACGCAAATTGGTTTACTGTCTCTGAGTCATGATCATGTGGAATCTGTGCTCATACATCAATGTTCTAACAAAAAGCCCCAGAAATTATTAGTTGTTACAAAATTACCACTCCAAGAAAAATATAATATACTTTCTGGACAGTTCTGGAAACAAAGTGCAATTGAACCCTTTTTTTCTACTATCGTGCTATAGAGATTCTCTCTACAAAACCAAAAATTAACTCTATTTGTCCAGCCCCTCCGCTCTGCCACCGCTGCAGACGGCAGGCCCTGAATTCACAAAGAGAAGTTGCACTTTTTCCCTTGCTGCATAACGGAAACCTGTAAACACTTTTTGCCCAGCTGTGCTTTTGGCCAAAGTTATGGTCATACAAACAACGTATTTGCCACAGTGAAGGAATGTACGTTAATCATAGAATCATAGAATGGTTAGGGTTGGAAGGGACCTCAAAGATCATCTAGTTCCAACCCCCCTGCCATGGGCAGGGAAACCCTCCACTACATCAGGTTGCCCAAAGCCTCATCCAACCTGGCCTTGAACACTTCCAGGGATGGGGCACCTACAACTTATCTGGGCAACCTGTTCCAGTGCCTCACCACCCTCTAGAGAGTGAAAAATTTCTTCCATGTAGCCAATCTAAATCTCCCTTCTTTCAGTTTAAAGCCATTGCCCTTTGTCCTATCACTACATGCCCTTGTAAAACATCCCTCTCCAGCTTTCCTGTAGGCCCCTTTTAAGTACTGGAAAGCTGCTATAAGATCACCCTGGAGCCTTCTCTTCTCCAGGCTGAACAACCCCAACTCTCTCAGCCTGTCTTTATAGCAGAGGTGCTCCAGCCCTCAGATCATCTTCGTGAGCAATCATCATTGTGAGCAACCAGAAACACTGCCATCCTCTGTATTTCAGCATGTTGCTGTTACGAGAAAGGTATTAAACCACTTCCTTGTGTTTTATTTGAAATAATAAAATAGTCTGTTATTTCTATAGCCATCAGCTGAGTGTACTAAAACACAGTCTTTAAATAGCTGCTGTCGAAGTGGCTTTTTTTTTTTTTGATTCGAACAGCCAGACCTCTAAAGCTCAATTCTGCTTTTATTGCTCAGAACTGATTTTCGTAGTGTTCAGTGACAGAGTGGAAGGTGGTGAGCTGGTGGTTCTTTAAGGCACAGCTACCGAGGACTTTTCCGTGGCTTTCTTCACCTCCCTATTACATTGATGACGTTTAAACACAACGACGCGTTATAAATCGGAAGACTGAATTGCAATTCACCCTCTGAATGCACACTCAGCACGTTACCCCATAGCAAAGCGCTGCCTAATGAGCCAGTGATACCTGTTACAGGTGACTGGGAAATTGTCTCTCGGTACTAATTTGACATAGAAAAGTTTGGTAAAGTTATATGGATTTTTATTTAATATAATATAGATACAGGTTTTTCTTTTTCTGTATATTACATGTATTTCCTTATGTAATGTAGAGGAAAAACAGAGGAAACACTCGACTTTGTCTCATCTTACACATTTCCATTTCTAAGGTGCTTGGTCTAGCAATGTAAATATAAAATTCCATGAGCTGAGCAGCTGAAAAATTATTACTGACGTAACCAGACTGTAACGAGATGACAGGAAGAGGATTGTGAAAACGGTGGTATTAGCAATGTAGTTGTATAGGTACTACCCAAAGCATACAAGGGGATGGGCGATGTGGGCTTCTTTCTCCTTCCCCCTTCCCCTGCCCTTTATTGAAAAGCAAAACTTGGTCCTGTGGTTGGACACAAGCCTTTGGATTTTGTGGCTCAGTTGAATGAAGTGAGAGCAGAGGCTTCGTGGAGCAGCAGAAGACACTGCATGCATTAAGTCACGAACGTGGCAATGAGATTCCCTTGAGCTGGGTATGCTTTTGTGTTGGAAACCACGTTAATCTGCGACTGCAGCCACTGCTGGAATCCCACAACTGTACGTAGAAGTTTCCAGGTCTGCACCTCGGCTTAGCAACATGCAGCACAGTACAGATGAGGAGACAGAAGTGTATCATTCAGGACACTAGAGTGTGGGATTTTTTATCACCTTGCAAGCACTTTTAGGTGTGGCTCATAGTGACAAATGCCAGTTTTAGGGTCTCAGAAAATAAATAAATGCCTCTCAAAAATATGTGGCAATTCAGAACAGAAGCTAAGATTAACTACTTGAACCACTCTCCTCGTATGTTAAACAGTTTCCCTTGTCACAGTAACTATAAGGCACACTATCTCGATGTTAGTGTCATCTCTTGCTGTCCAGAATTAGATTCTAATTCTCCTTAGAACAGTTTCTGTTATTTGTCTGAAAGTTTGCCTTCAACACCAAATAAAATCTGGAAAACGTGTCCACTTTGATGTTGTTTCAGGAATTCTAGGAACTGGCCAAGATCCATGTGATAGTCGTTCCTCAGGCCATAATCACCATGTGCCTGAAACTGTAGGTCTTCAAAGGCAGGAAAGAGACGAAGATTATCGATGCTTCCCTCCGTTTCTATATTCTCCACGTGCTTGCATGAAATATGCTTCCAGTTGGGATACCTAATGACACGCCAGAACTCTTCGCAGTTTTCTCTAAGTCCCTCCACACAGATGACTCCAGGTTTCCCTGTTAGGCAGAAGCCAGTCAGATTTAACTTCTTTGCACAGTCAAAAATCTTCTTCCTCAATTCCTGCCTATAGATATGATGGCTGTAGATCCACATGCGATGCAATGTTTCTTTGACCACAACTTCTTCTGAAGCACTTTCAGAAGAGATCTTACCATCTTCCAGGTAAGGCAGGCTGTTGTCCTTCACCCACTGCACAGCTTCACATACGCACAGTTCACCCGAATCCAAAGAGCTGATGTGAGACGCGAGACCAGTGTTGAGCTGCAACTGCTGCTGTCTGTGCAGCGCACTTGATCTTGCAAAAAGCTGAGGCGGCACGTGAGGATACATATGAGGCAGCAGTACCTGCAATTCCACTTTTACCTTAAAAACAGAAAACACGCACACACAAAAAGAAAATGAATTCTGCAGCTACTGAAAGATACGCTAGACTCTTCTTCCCTGTCAAAAGCAGACTACGAGGAGATGTAATTAAGATTGCAACATCCTAAAGATCGCAATTACTTCTTCCGCTTTCCTTTTCCTCACTCCTTTCCTTCTGTTACACCATGCTAGGACTTTCCCAACGTATCTGAAGTTATCATCTTCTGCTGTTTAGAGAAATAATGCTGTGGCTTGAAAGATGGCACACAGTTACCCTCTAGTGATATTTCTACTGCATGTTCTCAGTACGTGCTCAGTGTTGCTACATCGATAAATCACCGGGAGCCAAGGGGCAGGTGGCTTTTGAGAATCTTGTCCCTTACCAAACGCACATCTCCTCAATGAACTCAGCCAGTTACCCCAGGAAAACAAGGCCAGGAGTTATAAAAAAAACAGTGTTTGTGATTGTACATGTTGTATGCAGAGGCATTATTATTCTTATTTTAAGCAAGTTTTCACCCTAACAGAGGAAGCATTCTCAGGATTATAGGGGATAAAAAGATTTACATGCATTTTAGGCCAGAGAAACCTCTAGATTATCTTGCCTGATCTCCTACAAACCACAGGCTGTTGAATTTCTCTTGATTGCTCCTATGCTGTATTAAAATGGAGCCTTTGGAAACTGAACCCTGCCTCTGGTCCAAGAGCAGGAAAGGATTCATGTGTCCTCAGTGCTTGGTGCTCTTATATACCATTAGGGGACTTTCACTACAGTATACAATCAAATTATTAGTCCTGCAGAGAGACGTGAATTGTGAAATGATTAATTACCTTTTCAAGTTCCTTGACAATCACCTGCCATAGAAAAAATTCCTTCTGCAGAAGGCCTCCCTCTGCAGTTCATAAAACTTCTCTCTGAAGGCTGGTGAAGGGTGCATTTTAGACATACACTTAAGCCTGTGCATAAGTTTCCAAATAATCATGAAGCCACCTCGCTACCTAGTAAATTGTTCTAATTATCCCTATTCCTAGGAAAATGCATCCTTCTAGGTTGAATTTGTTGGTTTTCTATTTCCAGTCATTGCATTATTATATACTCAGACCTACACTAATTGCCGTGTTCTCCAGGTAAGTATTTACATCACTTAGTTGTCACACGTAACCTTTTATTCATTTGGATCAACTATTGGAACTCCTTATATTCTAAGAAGTTTTGGGTTTTGTATTGGAGTTCATAGGCTGGTTTTGTTTTAGTGTTTGTGTGACTCTTCTTAAAAGTATTCTGCAATTTGGGGCTATTTTTACATTAGTGTATTTCAAATACGGATCAATGAATATTAGCAGGGATGGAAGAGAGAAATAATAGAGTGAGATTGCTAGAATAATCTTAAATCCGACATACATATTCCCATGAGGGGAGCATGGCCTTTGTAACACACAACTCTTCATAATCCAGGAAACTAACAATGTCCATATAATTAGTACAACTCTAGCTAAATGCTGTGCGTGCCACTGATGTTGGCTGTCCATTCCTATCAGTGGTTCTATTAGTCTTTCTTGCCCAAATCAAGTTAAGACTCAAATAAATAATTAAAAACAAGCATTTCTTGTTACTCTTCACTTTTGAAACCACAAACAGAAATTGGGGGAAGGAGTTTCCTCGTTTTTTTTCCAGTGCAGTTTTTAAGCGTCTGCACTAGAAGTAAAACAACACACATGAAGGCACCTAAGTGGAATTTCTCACCTTTGCCTCCCCTACATCAACAGCAATTGAGTATTCCAGCTGTGGGGGCAGAGCTCCATCAGCATTTCTCAGGTAGCTCTGCACGCCGGGCACAGCATCCTCATCCAGCTTTATTTCACCTTTTTTGGGAAACATTGAAAGGAGCATTTCCACTTCCAGCAGCTGGAGCTCCAGGCACTCTTTTACAGCGACAGCCATTCCGCTGCCCTCCACGCACACCTGGAACAAGAGGCCTGGAGTCAAACCCGGGGTTTAACACACACTGAGGTTTAGCGCCGCGCCGTGCAACCGGACCGCCCTCCGCCGGGGAACCCCGCTACTTTTTCAGGACAGACTTGGATTAAACGCGCCTGGACACAAAACGCTGACAGGTTCGTCCCTCACAGGCGCGCGCCGGAGCCA